CCGGCGGGGGGGGGGGGGGGCGACGAAGCAGGCGTTGGCGCTCGGCCATCCCATGCGAGAGGTGGGATTTGCCCCTAGGAGTCCAAGGCCATCATTCCAGCGTGAAAATCATACGAATTCATGAGGATCCGTGGTTTGGAGTCATGTTTTTGCGCGGTTGTGGTCAGTGTTCCCTCTAAGCTGAGTGAGTGTGAGCTAGCTCACAGTTTTTTAGCCTCCAGCTCACACATTTTTGTCCCAGCTCAGGAAGGACGGCTCCGGAGCAAACTAATTCACGCAGTCGCCAAATCGCTCGCTTACAGCCTGAATGCCAGTAGCTCACAAAGTAGAATTTTTGCTCACAAGACTCCACAGCTTAGAGGGAACATTGGTTGTGGTGCCACGGATCTGTGGGTGCGCGATTTCCGTGGTGCCCCTTGTAGACTAAGCACATGACCTACACTAGGAAGCTGTGGTGGCTCAAGTGGTTAAGATGCTGACCTGCAGGCTGTGGAAGGTCGGTAGTTCAGCACTTCGAGACCCGAGTGTGCCGCATGACGGAGTGAGCTCCCGTCTCTAGTTCCAGCTCCTGCCAACCTAGCAGTTCGAAAGCAAGAAATTGCAAGTAGATAAATAGGTACCACTTCGGTGGGAAGAAGGTAACAGCGTTCCGTGCGCCTTGGTGTTTAGTCCTGCCGGCCACATGACCACGGAAACGTCTTCGGACAGCGCTGGCTCTTCGGCTTGGAAACGGAGATGAGCCACCCTAGCAGTTCGAAAGCCAGAAACTGCAAGTAGATAAATAGGGACCACTTCGGTGGGAAGGGAACAGCGTTCCGTGCGCCTTGGTGTTTCGTCATGCCGGCCACATGACCACGGAAATGTCTTCGGACAGCGCTGGCTCTTCGGCTTGGAAACGGAGATTAGCACCGCAACCCTAAAGGCGGACTCGACTGGCTTTCGAGCAAGGGAGACCTTTACCTTTTACACTAGGATGGTGGTTTTATTTCGTTTCGATGTAAAAACCGTTTAGACCCGACGTTTACTCTTCCCAATCCAATGCCGTCTTCTTCTTCTTTAAAAAAGGCCAAACGGTGGGCGGCGAGAAAGCACTCGGCGCGTGCTCAGAGGCCGGGCTCCCTGCGGGGAGAGGGGGGGGTTGGGCGGCCGGGCGGGCTCCCTCCCCCGGGGCGGCGCCAGGCGTCAGCTGACCGGCTGCCTCGGCGCGGGGAGGCCGCCCCCGGCCCGGCTACCTGCCCAGGGGCGGAGCCGCGGCC